GGAAGGTGAATGCTTTTAGCTTTACTTGTACTTATCTGATAACTACTGAAGATATTATGTTGCGTTATTGGGCCCATGTTATTTAGTCTGTTTTGTACTCACGGTTTGGGCTTGTCCAACCGTTTTTGTCTTTTTAGGGTTTAGTATATAAGGTGCACTCATGCATCCTTATCGAGTACGCTTTTTATAATTATCATATTAATTGTATTGCAAACCCTAGCACAACTCTACAGAGGATGTTCTTAATCGAGCTCTTCTAAAGTGTGACTATATTTTAATCATTCGACATACGGATTGATTTATTGCGTGTTCTTGTGTTTTTCATTCTTATTTATTTACATATTAAAGATATAATCGATCTAAATAGTTTATATCTCATCAATTGGTATCAGAACAGGAGATTGTGTAATCCATACGCATCTTTTCTGTTGAAGAAGGTGTAACATCCCCAAAATCACAGCCAGAAAAGACCGGTTTTTGTTTATACTTTATTTCAAAATCAGAGTAACCTTTTAATAAAAGAGTTGCAGAATTTGTCCCAAAACAATAATATGATAAAGAGTTATCAAAAGCATTTCCTTAGAAATGTATTTCATTAAAATACTCGGGATGTCATGTTCGATACAGTACATAAGTATAAACAATACAATATAATCCTTACTACATTATTTCATATCTACAGGCCTATATCCGTAATCCCTCATCCCAACACATCACAACTATGCTCGAGCGCTACTACCTGTAATACATAAAACTAAGTGGGTCAGGCTTGGGAGCCTGGTGAGCACATAGGGTTTTCAACCCACAATAAATAAGTTTATTAATTTCATCGACCAACAATAACCCGATTACCCGTTCCCGTTATCCTCACATTACGTCCCTAAACACCTATCATAAAGGACCTATCCTAAGGATCATCATCGGAATGGAAACTACTGCTAAGGGGGTTCCTCATCAATAAATTTCCTAAAGGCAACCATGATGGGGATGGATTACACTGGTGAACACATCGTTCAAAACACCTACAGGTTGCGAGCCTGCCAGCGTTTCATTGGACTGTTTAGAAGAGTCCGTGGTCGTCATCTATACTCCACTAGATGACTGGATCAACAACAACAACATCAAGGCCTATCATCATTTTATCACACATCACCTATTACATCTACCCATGTTTTTGTTGGATTAATGTCTAAGTCCATAACTATATTTGGTATGTACTTGACCCGATCTGACATGGTCCATTTGGGTTGCACTTCACTGACACAATTTATATGGATAGTCTTTTGAGAATAGTATATTTATGATTAATATTAATATATTATAAGTTCTAATATATTAATATGAAATCATATTATTTAATTAGTATTGATCAAGAATTAATTTAGAATTAATTAAGTGATCAAAATGAACTAATTAAATATGGACTCTTATATATATATGGAATGGGCCAAGTTCATTTAGGTTGGGTTAAGCTTTCATGGATAGTCGATGGAGTGTTTAACCCAAGGATCATATGAATTGAAAGGTCATGGGTTTAACCCTAGTCTCCATACTATATAAAGATGTCATTGGTTGGTGGAATTGGCACTAGTGTGGTACACTAAGAAGGGCTAGCTGATTTCACTGGAGAGAACAAAGTATCCATATTCTCTAAAGTCTTCCAAGGTGTTTTGGTGATTTGTGATTCCACTTGAGGCTTCCACACTATTGGGGATATGCTCTTAAAGCTTGAAGACATCAAGCTACATCAAAAGGTATGTCATCTAACTAGTACTTTGTAGTATAAGAACTTCATAATATGCTAGTTAGGATTAAAGCCTTGGAAAGATCTTATTTGCATGTATAATAGGAAAATATAGATCCAAGGTTTATAGGGTTTCATGTACACCATAGGAGTGTTAGAATGCTCAAAATCCAACAGTGGTATCAGAGCCAGGTTTGTTTTCTTGTTATACTTGCAAAATTGCTTAAAAAATCGAAGTTGTTTGCTGTCTGATCATCAGACTCGGCGAGTCCATCAGGAGACTCGGCGAGTCCATGCATAAAAAGTGATCAAATCGATCCAAATCACCGAGTTGGTTCATGCACTCGACGAGTTGGACCCCCAGACAGCATAAATTCGACTTTTTTGGCTGGAATTGGACTAGGAACATTACCCTAAGATGTTTTTGGACTTATAAACTTGTTTTTGATGTGGTAGTGTTCATGCTAATCCAATTTCAAAGATAATTGTCAATAGATTCATGTTTTGTATTAGTTTAAGGTTTAGGCTAATTACATGAAAAAGTTTGATTTGAATTATCTTGTTCTTATGAGTTGCTTAGATTAATAGAAAAGTTGAGTGAAATAGTTGTTTTCAATCCAAATTAATCTAAGAGTTGATTCTAAAATGTGTTTTTGTAACTTGTCCTCAAGTTATATGAAAAGTCACATTTAAGTTTCATAAAACTCATAAAAGTTGGCAAAGGTTACAAAAATGAAGAGTCTTGTCTCATTGAATGGTTTTATGACTCCATAACTTGTCCTCAAGTTATGGAAGTTCAAGAGCCACTTCATTAAGTAATAAAATGTATAACCTTAATTAATTCCATAAGTTATAAAATAAAGATAAGTTAATTCTTTTATTAGTTTAAAGTCTTCCATAACTTGTCCTCAAGTTATGGAACTTGAAGAGTTTTTGGATTAAAACTACTTTAAACACATAAGTTATGAAATTAATTAGTTTTGAATAATTTCAAAACTTGCCCTCAAGTTTTGGAATTTGAAAAGTGTTCTCTTATTAATACTTTAATTCCAAGTTAGCCCTTAGAATTTTCAAAGTTAAAATTCAACCCTTATAATTTATAATATTATAAGTTAATAATATTTATATATATGTATAAGAGTAAAGTCAGTCTTACCGTTAGTAGGCCTCATTCACGAAGCTGGTATATAGGGGGGGGGGGTATAAGGTTACTGCCTATAAAATGGCAGTTTAATGGGTGTCCACTCTCACCCACCGCTTCCTTGACCGGTGGAGGGTCGTTAGCCGAACGGGTTTGACAGGACTATAATTCTCCCTTCATTAAAAGTATTAATGATAAATACTAAGTAACTAAACTCTTAATAATACCCAATCTTAGTTACTTAGGAAAATGTGAATAAGGTGATAATCCATGAAATTACACTTTGCACTTTGTTTAAGTCGGTTAGTGGAGCGTGTGTGGTTAACCGACACACTAACTCGTATTTAACAAGGTAGGCAAAGGGTAACTTAATGTTTATCATAGTATCGATGGAGCATGTGTGGTTAACCGGCACATCAATTGAGGGGTAAACACTTAAGGGTACCAAGTAATTTGCATGGTTACTTCACACCTTGTTTTGTGATCCTCGGCATCCCAGTCACACAACCTGAAGGGCACAATCGAGATTGAAACATGCCATTGAATAGTTCAATGAATCTCAAAGATCTAGGAGGTTCAAATCCAATTAAAACCTAATAATTCATTTCGTTTATCTTGGTGGAAATTGGTGAATCGTCATTCACCTACCTTCAAATATTTTATAGCTTGGATTACGGCATCCCTCTTATAAGTTATAAAATAGTTTGTTGGGTCCTAGCCTTAATATTACATATTAGGTGTCATATTAAGGACTTAAGATAAACTATCTTGAATATCTCCCAGAAGATGTCAGGTTTAGACATTTATGATCTTCCAAAATCTCTTGAAACAAGCTTTCTTAAATAAAGATGATCTCCTTTGGAAATCATACTTCTTTCACCTCCTCCAATTATTCTCCCTAACCCACAAGTTCAAGGTCACTCAAGCCCTATTGGCAAGGTAAGGTCTAGGTGTGGTCACATCTTGGATATGTAGTCACATATTGACAAGCCGGGAGAGTTAGGTGTCAAAGTCACTACTAGAAAACTGCCCTTTAATGACGCGCAAACAATGACGCGCGCTAATAGAGGATACGCATTTGTGCGTGCCCTAAAAAATAATGTCAGCTCTGGAAAATTTGAAGGATAGAGGAAACGCATTTTTGAGCGCCTTAAAATTAGTGTCCAACAAAAAAATTTAAAAACACGGAGGGCACCTATCCTAAAAAGCGCGCCGTGTTACCTTGTCGCTTTATAATTTTAGTCTATTAGCGCGTGTTTTCATTTTTTGGGGGGAATGAAATCCAAAAAATTAAAAACCCCGCTTGCGTCTCCTCCTTCCACGGGAATGCTCACCTCATCAGACTCACCACCATCTCTCTCTCTATCTCTCTCTCTCTCTCTCTCTACAGTTCACCTCCATACCACCACCATGGTTGTCATAGCTACATCTCACCACCTGCAACCTCAACACAATCGACCATAACCACCATTCCTACCATCCATCGCCGCCCTACCATCTTCTCCATCACCACCTCTTTCTTGTTCTATGTGAAACCCTAAAATCGGTAACAACAATTGATAGGTTCGATTCTAACCCTAGTTCGTTCTCCCCCCCTCCCCTTTTCCTCTACAACAACTGATAGGTTCGATTCTATGGGGTTCACGAAGCATGGTTTATACATCTAGGGTTTTTGAATTTCGAGTATTATGCACACAAATGTCAGACAAAATATGGTCCGATTCCAGTTCTTAAAGCCCTCAACTCCGATTGACATGTGATCAAGGCTGGAAGAATTATCAACTCCTTCAAATAAATGTTATCATCTTCCTATATCAATCTGTTTTCATCTATGCTCAACATTCCAAGGTACAACTCTCTTTTAAACTCCAATATCAACATCTATTCATTTACTTTCCACGAATTCTGATCATCGCATTTGACTTCATCATTCCCAGGAATGATTTTTCTAAATTCATCTCTTTACTTACCTGATTGTGTTATCTACTTGTTGGTGGGATTTCTATCAGTTTTTATTTTAATTTAAAGTGAAATGATCGAGTGCACGTGAGGTGTTTGATGAAATGCTCAAGTGAGTGAAGATAATAATTTCTTTCATCTTTTGGCTATGTAAAGATGGAGGTAATAAGATGGGTAAGGATGGAAAAGTTGACATGTTGTGACATAATGGCCAACAGGGTGCTGCAATTCACATAATCGATGCCAACACCGGACATCTATTTTCTTTTCTTGCTGGCTTTCTCATGATTTGTGCTTTGTGACTTCAGATAATTACAGAATTCAAGGAGCAAGGATTGAATACCGAATTGTACAGCAAGAACAAAGACAGAGGGGATACTTATAGTATTGTACCCACAAGTGCTATCAGGTAGTTTTTTATGAGATCTACTGTTCACACACCATTTGAATATTGGGTTTTGAACTTTGAACAAAATCTTTGCTTTTTGGGGCAAAACAGTGGTGAAGGCATACCTGAGATGTTGTTGCTACTTGTCCAATGGGCTCAGAAGACAATGATTGAAAAACTTACATACAACAGTGATATTCAGGTGTGTGTGTGTGTGTGTGTATATATATATATATATATATATATCCTTTTTCCAATTCCACCTTTATTCCATCTGTGAGAGTTCTGATTACTGATTCTTGGAATGAAAAATCTTTGTAGTGTGCGGTATTGGAGGTTAAAGTGATAGAAGACCTTGGAACAACCATTGATGTGGTTTTGGTTAATGGTGTGCTTCATGAAGGAGATGAAATTGTTGTTTGTGGCTTTCAGGTAAGTGCAAACACTTTGTTGCTACATTCGAGTTACTTTTTGTTTGTATACTATAATTAATAAATATATGAACGAATGACGCTATTTTCTTGTTTAAAATATAATGCATGTGCATGTGCAGGGGTCAATTCATACAACAATCCGATCATTGTTGACTCCTCACCTAATGAAGGAACTCCGAGTAAAGGTGAGGATATGTTTGAACCTTTTTGGGCATTTTAAATTTGACAATTGTTTTTCAAATTCATTAGTTTTGTTGAGTCTTTATGAGTTTGTTTGTTGTTTGATTCGGGGAGCTTACATTCATCATAAAGAAATCAAAGCTGCACAAGGGATTGATTTACTTACTTCATTTCATAGACCCTCTCTTTTACTGTCCCATGTGGAAGATTTCCCAAACAGATTGATTTGTGGTACGCTGCTGATGGAGACACAAGATGGAGGTGATGTCAAAGGAGAAGTTTCTCCTCGTGACATAGTTTACACACAGGCTGCTGGAGGTGAAGAAGACCCAAACATCTTTCACATGCTTGATCTTCGCTTTGAGTAAGTTTTTCTTTTTTATTTTCCCTCGGCATAAAGTCATATTTTTTTTTCAATATCAGCAGAGGAATAAGCTGGCGTGATGATTCACTTGCATTGATATATGAAGATTCGTACTCTGACCCATGCTGTGGAGAACTTCTTATGGGACTTATGTTATTGCCAAGTTCAAGAAGGAGGATAAACAAGAGACATACCTGTTGCTAAATGGAAGTGGTGCTACTGCAGAAGGAAACACGAAATAATTAAGGCGTATTTACATTCTACATTTCTACATTACATTACATACCCACATCTTTTATTTATACTATAACTTACGTTTTATATATATTCTTAGGGATATGAAGGAGAACCCGATAATTCTGGAAATTGTGAACAGGTACATAATACCCGTCTTCTGGATTTATATCATTAGTATGTCAGTGAAGTTGGGAACCAAAATTTAAAATTTTAATATCTGCTATTTTGTAACAGATCTTCTTAGAGCTAATGAAAGTTCCACGTTCGGAAGCTAAACTCATAGTTTACTCTTATAAGTTGCAGTTTAGTACACAGGTCAGGAGATACTATTCTTTGCATTTCCTACTTTCTTATATTTACCATATTTTAACTTTACTGTTCTTTTTGCAAATTTAGGTTTCAGAACTTAGGGATAAGCTAAACATTGTTTATTTATCAGTAGAACAGGCAAGTTCTTTGTAATTACATGTGACTTTAATTATGCAGCTATTCAGTGACTATAAGATTGGATTAAAGCTTACTTAATTTTTTAATATGTTGGGTCGTGGTTATATCAGATTAGCAGTTCTGTAAAGTCGAGGAGAGTGCTGCTGACAACTTTTTCTCTTGGAAATGCTTTCAACTAGGGAACTGCAATAGGTTAGCTTTCTATTTTTTATTTTATTTTTGGAGTTACAAAAATTAAAAAAGCATGGATTTGGTTTTAGGTTCTGCTGTTTGGTTCAGATTGAGTAGCCTCTTAAGACTTGACGAAACAAAGGCACATTTTGATTTGGTTTTGAATTTTGGTGTTAGATCTTTAACTTTGATTTTGGGTTGGTTTGATTTATATAGGATTTGGTTGAATCTGGTTAGGGTTTCTCGAGAAAAGAGATGGATTGCTGTTGGGGTATAATTATACACCGTGACCATTAAAGGCAGAAGCGATAAAGTATACAAGGGCAAAATGGTCATTTTCATAAATTTAGTCGATTCAGGGACCAAAAGTGTTATGAAAAATTGCCCTCATCAAGCCTTCAAAACTCGTTCCTGCCCTCAAGGTATACATATATATATATATATATATATATATATATATATATATATATATATATATATATATATATTTAACCTCCTTTAATATTTTTTAAATTAATTAATAAAATGTAATTGTTTTTAATATAAATTTTTTAGGAGGGAACAACTAGTCCTGCTGCATTCACCAGGGCAACGGTTGTTGTTGCGGTCAAGTATTCAATAGTTGAACGACCAGAGAAGATCGATGTGGTCCTCTACCCTGAAATTTCGTCATTTCTTATGCTTATCAAGGATCAGGACCGGGTAAGTCTTTCTCTCTCTCTCTCTCTCTATATATATATATATATATATATATATATATATATATATATATATATATATATATATATATATATATATATTCCAATATCCTACATATCTTCACACAAATGGAAACACGGTAACTTTTAAGAACTTTTCCTTCTATTTGGACATGAAACTATTGGGGGCAGAATGTGAGGGTGACCTACTAGGTGTACAAACCTGATCCTGTCTCTTTCTATTTCATATATGTGTCTACACCTAAGTGAGCTTATTCTTATTCTTTTACTTTTATAGTTACCACTAAAAGCAATCCAAATCCTTTTGATTATGTCCCTGAGACATAGTACACAACCTTGAGGCCTTCTTCAAAGCATTCTGACCAATATACCCTTCACAACATTTACCTTTTTATCCTTCTTCTTGAGACTTTATATTGACTTATCCTTGAGGTACACACTAACCCATAAGCTTAAACTCCCTACCTGATACCCTGTTAACTATAAGCTTTACTAAAGTAATCAACTTTTTCACATACTTTGAGCTGGTTTTGGGTAAGGTGGTTTTGGGCCTATTTTCACTTAATTTTCTTCACAAGAGGTCGCAATACAGCCAATTATAAGTGCTTTATTATAGGGTAAGCTTCCTGGAGGAAAAGAAATTGCAGTGAAGAGGTTGTCAAGCCTCTCTGGACAAGGTTTGCAAGAGTTCAAAAATGAGGTTATGCTTATTGCTAAACTTCAGCATTGAAATCTTGTTAGACTAGATACATTTATAGTTGGTTAGTTCATTTCTCCATTCATATGCTTAGTTATATCTGTAAACATAACTAACTTTTTTTATATTAAGATAAAGAAAGGTCTTCATGATGTTGAATTTTTCTAATATTGGTTTTGCGTTGCAGACAGTATGGTACAAGGGAAAGTAAAGAAGTTACATTGGAAAGGAGAGTTCAGTTTGATTTACTTCAGGTCATTTCTTCTAATAAATCTTATTGAACAAGTAAGTTGATATGTAGGGATAACTATAAGGTTTTGATTCATTATCTTATTTTCTGCAGGCTATGCAAAGAGATTATAAATTGAGCTCGTACTCACTGAATTCTGTTTCAACACACTTTTTTAATGAGCAGGTATTCTTTTTACGTTCTAGTAAGGTACACATAACTAACTTTTTTATATTATGAAACTATATCTTATATATATATATATATATATATATATATATATATTTTATATATATATTTATATATAAAACTAGTAGAAGTTTCTCGCGCCATTGGCGCGAGTTAGATACGAATTTTGTGCATGCAACATCGATTAGAAGAAGAAGCAAAAGGAAAGGTTTTGGGAGGAGAATAATCTCATAATTAAGAGTCACATGGGAAGGTACTTTAAAAAATTGTAAACCACACCACACGTTAAGGTCCTAGGGTCTTGTTCAATGCTTTAGGTGTGTTTGCTCTAAGGGAGATCAACTTATCAAAAGTAAGTTATCTTTTTCACCCTTTTATTTAATATTTTTTTGATTGAATGAAAGTCTTAATTAAAGTAATTGACAACCCTTTTTCTGTAAATGATGTTGTGATTGTGGGAGAGGTGTTGTGTTTTTCTTTGTTGCTAGGTAACCTTCTCAACAATAGCATTCTACTTAAGCAGGTGAGTAATCAAGATTAAGGGAGACTTGTAATCATGTTTGGCATTCCTATCCTGTAAGAAACAGAGTTGTATGATTACTTTTTAGTTTTACAGGAATGTATAACCCATGTTAGCAATGTATTATTTTTGTTTAACATTTGAATGATTCTTTGTATGACATTATAATTTGTGCAATTTATTTTATTTTTTGAGTATGAAATTTTATTTTATATTATGCAATGGATTGTATTTTTGTATATGGTATTTTATTTCTATTATGAGAAATTAAATGCAAATTTAATTTAAAAATTAATAAATATATAAATTATTTTTTTTAAACATATAAATTTACGATACGCAAAAATGTGTGTCATCTTCATTTATGACATGGCCTTTCTTGATACGCATTGCGTGTCATTAACATGTGCGTCGTAAGGTTACGACACGTGAATGCGTGTTGTCTTCCTTTATGACAAGGCCTTCCTTGATACGCATTGAGTGTCGTAAACGCGCGTCGTAATTGCGCGTCATAAATGTGTGTCGTAAATGCGCGTCGTCTATAGACGACACGCAAAAGCGCGTCGTCTCTCTTTATGACAGGGCCTTCCTTGACGCGCATTTGCGCGTCGTCTGAGCCTTTTATGACGCGCAATGAGCGTCGTAAAATGTTGTTTTTCTAGTAGTGAGTCTTGCGAAAGTTGGTGGCTCAATCACTTTCTAAGTCACATAGTGAGTTTCTTTAGAACTCCTATGAAACAGACTATGACAAGACCCTTAATGATCTTATCTATTTGCTTGGTGCTGCTAAATCATAAATGATTTAGTGTACTAGTAAAGCAAATTTGATTAGGAGATCAACTTCCCAAAACTTTATGGACAGGGACAATAGTGACATAGGAAATCTAGAAATGCATTCTCTTCCCAATGGAAAGGGATTGGCCATAGTCAACTTGGTTGACCAAATGGTAAAGAGAAAAGCTAAGTCTGAGATAGTCCCATGTGCTATTACCTAAGGGTCCATATGCTTCTATTGCCAAAGGAAATGAGCTTTGGTTATGAAGCTGCCAAACTTACCTAAGGATGGTAAAGTCAATAAGTTTGACTTTTTTCAGGTAAATTCCATTGTCTAACTCTATTAAGTTCCTACTTGGAGATTCTTATTACATGATGTGGCTAGGTCACATGTTGATGTCTTAAGAATCAAAGAAAAGTAAAGAAACTTAAAGGAAGTATGTGCAGCTTCTGATTGCGAAGATGGATCGCATGGTTCGGTGATCAGAATTTTGAGCATGTGCTTGAGAGTTATGATAGATTGCTTATGAATAGATAACAACAAGTTTTCATATACATTTTCATTGTAAGGATTAGTTTTTCCGCAAAGTTTTAAAAGAAAAGAAAATTTTTATTTTGTTTATTTTAAGATATCCTTACAATGGCATTTGTAGAAAAAGGAAAAGATGTTGCTTATATGATTCCATTGATAGCAATATTGGAAATATGAATTTGATTCTTTCATTTGTGGTAGTGTTAAATTTACCAAATAAGGAAAGATTCTCATCACCCAAGTTTCAGTTGGATAGAAACTTGGAATCATGCAAGTTGGATAGTATGATGAATGAGAACTTTCGAGCATTGGAAAATTAAGACTAACTACTTGTTCACATGGATGTGTGAGTCAAGATAAGGACTAAGGGATCAAGTACATTTTCTTAAGCACTTGTCAAAGTCCACTACAAAAGATGGATACGACTATTCGTCATGATTTAATAAGGTTTAGTAAATATGATTATACTTACAAGCTTAAGTATAATTCTGAAACATTGGAAGATTTTCAATGTATGACAGATCGAATAAGAAGAATCAAATTAGGCAGAAGGATAAAAGTTTCTCAAATTTGAAAAGATGGGATAGTACTTTAGTATCATGTTTAAGATCATCTTAATGATTTTGAGACCTGATCAAAATTCATCCTCTAAGTGCATTCTAATAGCTAAAAAAAGGTGCTATGAATTGTTGAGTGGTCAAATCAAGAAGATGAGTCATACTTCGTTCCAATATAAGTCTTAGAGTCATACTCCAAGATTGTAATTTGAGTGACATGTCTTAAAGAAGGTTTAAAACACTTGTCAAATGTAAGAGTAAAGGTTTCCTACTCTTGTACATTTGAAATTGGTAAGTTGTGATGTTTTGGATAAAACAAAGACCAACTAAGGCCAATTGTGTGAAGTGTGTGTCTTGATTAGAATCCGCACTATCTCTTGGATGTTTGACAAGGGAGTCTTATAGGTCAAGAGGACAGTGGGAGTCTTAAAGGTCTGGAAAGTCTCAAGAATTAATCAAGAATAAAACCTGAAGTTCTTCACTAGCACACGACTTGAGGTTTATAACCTATCATGTTGACATATTCTGTGCCCATTCCAGGGAAAGTTGGCTTTGCATATGAGTTCTTAGAGTTCTCAATTGGTTGCGCAACAACTTGGAAGCAATGGCAGGACCTTGAGCTGCCAGGTGGTGTCACACCCCCAAACCAAGGATGGCGGAAACGTCCGGGGGTGGAGGACTTCATGTAGAGTATCACAACAATGAATATAATAGTGCTCAAAGTAATTACAACCATCACAAATATAATTTAAAACGTTACATCAAAGCACATGTTTACATGATTCACATCA